GATACATGTAGGACAATTAGGTATGGTATTACGAGCAACAGCATCAGCGATGGTACAGCATCCTATAATCGCCGTAGGTTTCAGCTTATACGGTATACATATCATTGAGTCTCGAGAGCGGCACTATGTATGCCATTTTTCCCTATGCACATTACACACTCTCTCGAAGAGGTTCCAACATTTTTGCAACACACGTAATCCCATGCTCAGCCTCTCTTAACGTTCCCTGGCTGTTTGTATAGAGTGCACACCAGACGTGTATTTCTCCACGGCCTTTCTTTCTCTTCTCTCTTGTGTCACACATACATATAAATGTATATGTTGCGGAGAAACACTTGACTCTGAATATACTGCACCTGATGCTCGCGTGCGCGCTGTTTCTTCATCTTAATTTCACGTGTACAAAACCCACAGTATATACGAGCTCGTAATCCCTTTTCTATACACAATGCGATACATATACGTGAGCGGGTGTAGCGTAAGTATGGTAGCTCAGCTTTTTCTTTCCTGCATGGCAAGTCGTTACGAATTTTTTTTTCCCGAGCTATTGTTGCTCGCGTTGTTATTTGCTCGATGTTGGGAGGTGTATCTGTTGCGTATCTGCACGCGTTTCAATCTTATGTTAGTTTAGTGGTTGGGTTCAGCTGTGTTCATCGTTTTGCTTAAGATCCTGTTAATGCAATTTTTTTCGAGCTTACTGAGCTTGAAATAGAGAATAAAGTTTTATTATTTTATACGATAGTTCTCGTGTTTATTTAATTTTAAATTAATTTTTTTGTTTAATGAGCAAAACCCCAGAAACCTTGAAGTTGTCTCTTTCCTCCAAAGTATTTAATTTAATCGCTATTTATTGATTCTATGAACGATAATATTAGTGTTGTTTTGAATAAGTCGTGTTTGATAGCTTCTACTATTTTATAATCAAATATCGAAGACGGAAAAAGGTATTATGAATACTAAATTTCATATCTCTCTTAAAAAATTAATTTCATTGATACGCTATCACTGGGTGCCAATGCTTCCGAACACCGGTGCTAAGCTCAATTAAAAACAATTAATGAATTTTATTGCATTTTTTATTGGAAATACATGGTGTAAATTTAATGCAGGGACTTAAAATTTTTTATAAAAACAGTAAATTTTTATTGCCATTTTTCAAGCATTTGTTAAACTACAGTAAAAACAATCTCATTCTAACTAACAAAAATAACTCATGATGTAGGGTTGTCTGTGTTAAATTACATACAATAGCTAACAATAAATGTAAGGGTATAAAAAAGTGGTAAAAAAATTTTTGTCACATCAATATTTTTGCTATTTCATTTAGAATTGTTCTCAAAAATTAGTAAAAAAGAAAATTAATAATGTAAATATAAAAANAGATTAAATTGTCATAGAAAAAATTATACTCAAAACAATAAAAAAATTTAACTTTGGAAAAGAAACCTATTTTTATAAAAAAAGAACTTTTCTAAAATCAAATATTCATTAAAATGCTTGATTTTGAAACTCCTAAAATTTGAATATTTTTAAAATAATCATACATGGAGAATGGTGACACTTGCAGTAGCAGCAAAATTGATGGTAATCCTTTTTTTCTGTACACCATATCTTCCTTCCAAAAAAAATTCATAACTTACATTATAGTTATAAAAAACAGTAATTCTATTTAGCTCTGGAATTTGACTAGGGGTAATTCAAAATATGAATATTCCATGGAAAAATAAAAACCATGGTAGTGTACCGTAATAAAATTGTATACACACTGATAAGGTTTTTTTTTCATTTTTTATCTACTTGTACCTTTTTTCACTTTGGTGTTTTTACGGACACTCTATGCTGTTTCTGAGTAGAAGGTGTTGATCCTAACCACGACTAGTCTTGCATCGAATCAAAATATACACGGAGCCTTCCTTTTTCCTCCACATTTTCTTTATTGGTGCAAAACCAGTCGTGAAGCTTGAAAACAAATTCCAGACAAAAATGTTTAATTCTCGAGCTCTCACCTAATCGGTATTTGAACCGGCATCCTACGTGAACAGCCATACTTGCTACTGAGCTAAATAATACTTTTTAGCCAAAGGAGCTAATAAAGTTTGATCAAAACATAAGTTTAAAAACTTGTCATTCATCTGATTTTTTATTTAATGCCAGTTTGTATTAAAAACTGACATCGCACAAATGTGCAATTATAGAAATATATTTTACATTTTTTTGCCTGCACCCTGTACTTTTCATCAAAATTTAAACTCGAAACCTTTCAAAATCTTTGCCCAGCGAAAATCTTCACCAAAACATGATTAGATCTAATGTATTTTGTTATGCATTAAATGTTTTTCAAAACACAATAAATTTCTTACATTAACTACTGTACCGCGCAACGCATCATATAACTGCACATAGTGTTCACACACATACAACATATGCACGTTCTCACGTACGAGGACGTTCACTCGTTTTTTACGTCAAATTTAATTGTGCCCCGAGGGATGTATATCGAAGGCACGTAAACAAAATGCGTTTCTGGGAAAAAGAGAAAGGTGGCCCTTATGGCCCCTCTCTTGCACACGTATATAGATGTATACATGGGAAGACGCCAGAAGTGAAGAGTAATGAAGGTTCATTAATGCTCTCTCACACGAGAGAGACGGTATCAAGCATATACACACAACACACTTCAAACATCGGAGGCACCGACGATTCAGGAATCGAAACCACACTCTGGCCCAGAGCGACGTTCTGGCCCACTTTACATTGACTGGAAGTAAGTATACAACTCCTCAGTGATCGGCTTTTCGTACATGTACGAAACTGAATATTTTCGATTGATACACCCGTTTCTCTTGATACACGGTCATCTTAAGTTGTTTGTTGTCTTTAGTTGTGCATTTGAATTTCACCATTTAGTGTACGATCAACCGATCAATTTTTGCTGGATTCTGTTTTGGGGTTGTAAAATGTGTTTTTTTTTTTTTTTGTTTTTTTTTTTGACTTTCGGTAATTTTTTTTTGGTAAAATTTAGCGTAGTTTTGAAAAAACGATTAATAACCTATTTTGTGTATCAAACAAAACAAAAACAAAAAATAGTTTTTTCCAGGGGAAAATCGAAAAAGTACCGCCATCCTATTCTTCGACGAACTGTATTTAACACTGCTACTTTCTAAATTCCAGTTCTATTTTTATTCGAGTCATATACACACAGCATGTTTTTGTATTTATTTGGAATAAAAATTCAAAAATCCATTTGTAAGATAAACCACGAGCTGTACACGCCCAGGGTATACCCATCCTGATCGTGTAATGATTGCCCGTAGGCCTGGCGGCACGGCACAAAGTAGCGAGTCACTCACCATCACTGCAATCGATAAAGTCAGCGACTGAGAGTAAAACAAAAAAAGCCACGCAGAGTAAAGAAGCCTCGAGAGCCGTAACCTTGCAACGGTTGATTTCCGGTTGGTCGAGCGTCCTTCTTCAAAGTTTTCATTTTACACAGTTCTCCAATAGCGAATGCACACGTGCGCCACCTGTGGCTCAAAGAAAAATGTTTATCTGTACCTATGGACCAAGTGCACTGTTCACATGTTAATAAGGATAAAGAGGGAGGCGGAATGCTAACGATTTTGTTTTCCCGGCCTTCTTCTATTTTTATGTACGTTATTTCTTGTTTCACCATTCGAAGCCGGTTTAATGGGCTGGCTTGCTGATTGCGAATGAGATTTTACGATGATACTTTCAGACGCGAAATTCTTGAGAACGTAGTAAACAGTGCACGTATACATACCCACAACCTATAGTTGGCAGTGCAAACAGTTTTCGTGATTAACGCGGTAGTTATAAAAGCGCGAAAAAACAACGAAGATTTTGTCTTTACTAGCTCGTTTGCTCTTTTGCTTTTCGTGAAAGTGTTCACCTTATTTTTCCCAAGAACGCGTGTTTTTCTTAGAGCTGCGAGCCTTGGAGTTTGCAAGACTTGTGAAAATGGTTCTTATGAAGAGCTGAACGATCATTGAATGAGTGGAAATGGTCTTTGGAGTCATCAAGGAGTCTCAAGGTCTAGCCTTATTGAAATAAATGCCATGAAACCTTAATACTTTTTGACGGGATTCGAGCTGCACGACTATAATCTTCATTCTTGATGCAGCTCGATGAAGTGCTAATAGACGACTGCCCAGAAATTTTTGAGACACTCCAGCGTATTATAACTGCACTTATTCAATTCTGTTGCAGGTATCCTCGATTTGATGTTGACACCACCTAGTGAATTCTACTGAACTAAAGTGAAAAGCTGGCGTATTTTTGCAAAACTTTGAGCTTATTTATTGCTATTGTTATTAAGTTTTTCAAGATAAAAACTATACTTAAACCATCTAGGAAATGTCAAGAATCAGTGTGCAAAATTTTAGCAAAATCGGTTCAGTAGTTTTCGCGGTTAGCGATTACAACGGTTTTAGCGACTTTGTTTTATATATTAGTAAGAGTAAGATAAATGGTCTCACGATGATAAGATTTTTAGTAAGAAGTAAGGCATTTACTAGCTGTTGGACTAAACAGTTGTGACACTGGTAAAATTTTTTAGTGCAGATCAAATCAAGAAAAACAAGTAAAAACGTCATTAATAACATCAAAATTGTAATAAAAAACTGTTGCCTGTATTTCCTTCAAACACAATAATGGAAAATTATGTGCGGATACCATAAAAAATGGAAACACTAGTATAAAACTATATAATTAAATACCTTTTTTTGAAAACAAGTAATGCTAGTAGTAATAAGTAATTATTTTTTTTTTAAATTACCTACTTGAGGAGATGAGATCAAATCATTATGATGTTTGTTTAGAATATACTGTTAGTAAAAAGTTCTATGTGATCGATTTTTATTGTAAACCATAAACAGTAATTGAATGAAGTTTTTTACGTGGTGTTTAGCAACGCATTCTTTGTTGCAGGTTTGTCTCTTTGGTTATGAATCTAACGTTTTAAACGAGATAAACCACTTGAAATTAGTTGAAAATTATATTACAACTTCTAGCTTTCTCATTATTTTAAACACTGTATCAAATTACTGGTTAAAATTACAATTTTTTAAAACCAATTTTTAAGTATTCGATGATTAAACTTTTTGCTTTGTTTATTATTTATAAGACTTTTCGATAAAATTAACATCACAACTGACACTCTAACATTTTTGAATCATCACTAACCATACTACCGCTCCACATGTTCATTGATCCATTCAAAAAAGAACGAAATTTCACTGTAAACTCCAGGCAACATCGGATCACCGCAGTCCTGAGCTCCGTAAGAAACTACACCAGCAACCCGCCCGTCAATGGTCAATGGACCTCCAGAATCACCTCCACAGGTGTCCTTTCGACCAACCCCGTATAATCCAGCGCAAATCTGGCCTTCACCTATACCACCTTGTTCCTGCTTGTATGCATCATCGCATATATCTTTACTGATGACTGGCAGACCTACAGACATCAGCTGTACCGGTAGTTCTTCCTCCGTGTAGCCCCAACCACTTATCACAGCAACGGTCCCCGATAATATGGTCTCGTTGGATTTGTACAGGTCTGCCGGCTGACGAGAATCGTCGAAGACAAACGGTTCGTGCACCTTGACCACTGCGACGTCGTAGTAACCATTGCCCAAGCTGTTTTGCCAAAATTGTTCGTGGGAAATGATCTTCTCGACCCTGTGGATACTACCACCATACGTGTTAAAGGACGACCCAGCGCGGATTTGCACGTACTTAAGATCAAAGATGTTGCAGTGTGCGGCTGTAAGAGCCCAGTACTCCGAGAGAATTATCCCGCCGCACCTGTGTCGTCCACCGTACTGTAAGGATACCTGGTACGGTCGCGTTTCAATTACGGTGGGCTCTCCACCAATGATGCGTCCTCGTGGTAAAGCGTTTTCCGTGGCATTGGAAGCCAGTGGATGAGCTACAATGATGGGTTGTTTACTGTTGATGATTTGAGTGACAGAGGCCCGAAAAAAGTAATAACTGAGTAAATAATGAGTAATGATAGGAAAAAATTACCTTTCGAAACGACTAGCAGACATGAAACTGCGAGAAGCAGATACATTTTATTCGAGACTTTGTTGTGCGACTGATTGGGGAATCGATTGAAACGTATCTTATATGTCTTTTATTATCTTGTCCTCGAGTGAGATAGTATCTAAATGACTTTGAAGTAATGGTAATACAAATATAAAATAATAGTATCTGTATCGATAAAGTCTTTGGTATTTGAACTTAATACGTTCATGGAAATTTTTTAAATTAATAGTTGTTAAATATGTAATAAACAAACCAAAACCTATTTATTGTAATACTTTTCGGTGTATAAGAGACGAAATGCCGATAAACACTTTACAATGAGATACCATTGAAAAACTGATCACCATTCAAAAGTGTGTACAAATGATGTACATACAAAGCAATCAACATTATATGAATGGTTGTGGCAGGATGATTTGATGGGACCAATAACATCGGTATATACCTAATTACTATAACCCAGTTTCAAAAAACTACTTGCTTTCTTTCAAAACGGTCGCAAGCAAATGCATACGCTCGAGTTGATCATTGGACAAGATAAGAAGATAATAATGACTGTGATTGAGGAAAGATACATTTAATTTTGATTGACTTATGGTTTATTTGAAATCATTAGGTAATATTTTTTTCTATGAAAACAATTAGACTGATACTGTGTACGGATAGATTAAGAATATATAAACTCAACGAATTCCATCCATAATTAAGTGTTTACATTGATAAAATTTTAATATTCATTATACTGTACTAGAATACAATTTAAAAAATCATCAAAGTATCATTATAAATTAGTTAAATACCTTTTATATTTTGGTGTTCTCATTCATGCAAAGCATATCGTACTATATATATATCAATGAATAGGTAATCCTGCTTATGCATGGAATCAACAGAGATAAAGGTCACTTTAAAATGTAATGGCGAAAGCTTATAATTTTTGTTTACTGGATTGTCTTGCATAAATGCTTACTTCATCGCAAAATCTCTTCTATTAATAATTGATATAGATTAAGTATCTGATTTACTTTAAATTAAAAAGCATAAACGTTAGTCGAGCAGTCGATTCTAATGAACAGTTTTAATCAGTCCAATAAGGTATATCAATAGTGGCACAAGATTTTGTTATAATTCTATTGACTACTTCAACAAATACAAGTCAATATTAATCAAGCAATAGCGTTAAAACAGCTCAGATTACAAACATGGTCTTATCAATTCGATTTCTTGTCTTTAGACTTGGTTTTAGAATGTAACACGTTCTTCAATCCACTTGTGGAAGAAAGCGATTTCACTATACACACCAGGATAATCTGGATGCGCACAATCTTCACCGTAGGTCACGATTCCAGCAAGCCTGTCGTCGACCACCAGTGGACTGCCAGAGTCACCATGACAAGCGTCCTTTCGAGCGAGACCCTGGTATCCAGCACATATTTGATCTTCGCCAATTCCACCTTGTAGTTTTTTATAAGCATTTTCACAGACTTCCTTCTGCACGATTGGCAGCACCACTGCTTGCAGTTGTACTGGTAGACGTCCGTCTTCTAACTCGCCCCATCCAGACAGAACAGCTAAAGCTCCTGGTTGAAGTTTTTCTCCAGCATCGAAGAGTTTTATTGGCAAACGAGTATCATCAAAATGGAAAGACTCTTTAACACGAATCACAGCTATGTCATAGAAAGCATTGTCGTGCTCGTTCATCCAGAAATCTTCATGGCGATAGACTTCCTTCACCGTATGAACACTACCACCGAACAAGCGAAATGACGATCCTGCTCGAATCTTTAGGAAAGAGACTGGGTCGCTTACGCAATGGCTAGCTGTTACGATAAATTCTGCAGAGATAATAGCTCCACCACATATGTATTCGCCTCTGCTGTGTAAAGATACTTGGTAAGGATGTAACTCAATCACAGTTTTGTGACCACCGTAAATACGACCTTCTAATCCTTGACCTGTCTTGGAAAACAACTGCTCCACGGACAAGCATCCTAAAGTTCAAAGAATTGTTATGATAGATCTAAATGTTACGGTGAATATAAATGTTTTGTTGTACTTTAATATTTATAGAACTTGAAAACGATAAGTATCAGTCATCAAAAAAAGTATGTTGGTATCGTCAATCTTACCTCTAAAAGTTGTAACTACTGAGAAGATGCTAAGTAAGAGAAACATATTAATTAACGCACGTCAGAATAGCTTGTGATTGCCTGACTGCTAAATTTTATTCTCATATCGTATTATCACGAAGATTTGGTTGCGTTAGCTTATTTCGTAAGATAAGACGTTTATAATGTCAGTTTGATTAATCTTTTACGTAAAGTACACAAACTTGTTGTTGATTTTTAATGTAAATATATATCATGTATAAATCTTGTGATATATTTTTACATAAGAGAATAAATTTTATTCCATGTGTGTGTATTGTATGTCTGCCTGTTTAATGCCAAATTTGGTATTATTGTAGGAAAGTGTTTTTTGCAATTAACTTTATGAGAAGGTATCGATGAGAAAGATTAAAGAGTAAGTAATTGCATGATAAAAGAATTGTAGGTCACTAGTACGATATAAAGCAGAAATCGTCTGGGTGTCACGGAAAAATCAATATTAGTTCGTGATAAAACGATTAACCAAAGGTTTTTTCTGAATTATTCCTTATGTTTTCAAGGATTCAACTGCATAAATCGTAATTGCGTGATAAAAATTGTAGGTCACTAATGCGATGTACAGAATAACTCGTCTCTATGTCACGAGTCGGTCAATAGTATTTCATGATAAAACGGTTAACCAAAGGTTTTTACTAATTATTCCTTAGGTTTTCAACGATTTAACAGTGTAAATACATCACATCAATGATCACTATTAAGGAAAGGCATTTAACACATTACTCACTGTACGAGTTGATAAAAGTAAAAAATCATAGGATCAACATTAGCTTTCACGAAGAAGCTCTCACCACAATGATTGTTTCTGGTATAATATGATTGATCAGAATATAGACCTCTAAAAGTTGACAAAACATGGAAATCTGTAGATCATACGCCTGGCTATTTTAAATGTACAAAAATACAGTACAAATAATCAACCAGCTTCATTCTCTATTTATGTTGCTAGAGATGTGAATGAAAAACACATAATCTAGTTTGGACTTTTTTTTCGTCTAAGACATTTTAAGTAGCTGGGTCGTAATAAAAAAACAGTAAAAAAAATGGTACGTCAGTACAAAAACTACATATTTTTATTTATGTACTGGGTGGTGTTTATTTTCATAGGAAGACAGCTCGAACAAGTATGTATTAAGCAGCAGTCAGAATGTAACTGGAATACAAATTTTGAATCACTAAACGAAATCTCTCTCTATATAAATGTAAGGATGCTTATTAGGGTCATATTTTGATAGGAGTGTTTGGACCACTTTATATTATATAATACTTAATTGAGGGTCAACGGCCAGCCCAATGTGGATGAACAGTAGTCTGTGAAAACAACTAAATTCTACTTTTGCTCAGCATTATGTTTGTTAACTCACTGTGTAACAAATACTTAATAATAAATAACAAAATTATTATATAATAATGGTCACTTGTATTTGGAAAACAAGAATGATTTCTCATGATTGTTTGATAATGATCGAATCTGAGTAAGAAGTATGATTGTGTACAAAAAGATGAATTCTTTATTATTATTATTTTTTTTGTATAAGTATTAGAATCAAGAGCATTTTAGCTAATAAGAATTTTTAAAAGGTTAACCTTATTGAATAAAGATCATTGTTTTATTATAACTGTAATAGATCCAGGCTCATTATCGAGCACTGAGATAGGATTAAAATACACCTTTTACAATTTAAGTAGTTACTTTCTGTAACTATTATTGACATACAAAGTGTTTATACTTCGTATTTACAAAAATGTAAGCTTCAAAAAATTCCTAAGAAATTTTTTCTTCAAAAAACTTAATTGAACTCAGTTTTACTCAATAAAGAAGTGGTGCAGCAAGATTTTACTAACTGATGCTTTCAATTGCTGAAGTAATCTTAAATACACGCACATTGATTACAAAATCATCAACTATTAAGAGGGCTATCGTAGTAAAATACGCGCGAAAACACGCGTTAAAAATTTGATGTATCAAGATCCAATCTGATTGTACACCCCTCTCTTCCCGTAACGTTAAATTTTTATGAGTGAATGTACTCGCTCATGCGCAGTTCAAGTCTAGTCATCTGTTTGCTTCGTTTTGATCAAATTTTTGGCAAAATGTGCTAACACTACATTATCTCATAAACTATGAAGCTAGGCCTTCTGAAATTTTGAGCAATGCTTCTTAATATAGTCATCTTCAGCATATGAGTTTTTTACGAAAATCTATAGAAAATCAAACGAGTTCTGTTAGAATGCGTACCTTTGGCAGCGAGCTCGCTACAACCTCTCCATAAAAGCCCGTGTATAACAGAAAAACTTTAAGATTTTTTTCCTCAAAAACTACAAAGCTAGTTCCTCTAAAATTTTAATATGATATGTGTAGTGATAAAATAAGTGTCTCGTAATTTTTTTTTTTCAATTCTATAGAAAATAAAATATCACGATAACACCCTTAAGGAGTTACTTTAGGACTAAATATTTTCTGTGCATCTTAATGCAGCTGTCTATCAAATCATTATCACGTGACTATGATAAAAGAACTTTTGAATTTATAGAGGTTTATTGACTTACAATTACATCACGCAAAACTTTGTCTTAAGACGTCATTACACTACATTTGAACAAGTTTTGTTAATAATGTAAAGCAGAGTATAGCAGAAAATTACGGAACTTATTACTAAACGATATTTGATTATAAATGATCAGAATTCTTCAAGGAATGTCAGGAAATCTATTGAAAGTTATTTAAACATATGAGTTACTTAAGAGTTTGTATTACTACCAATAAATAATATATCATCATATAATAAATTGTGACGTTAAAAAATTAGGTAAGTTCTGATATTTACAGAACTGAAAGAACCGAACGAACCCTAGACAATTTAGAAGTAAGTTCTCACATCATATCAGGTGACATCAGTTTTTTATATGAATTGAAATTTCAACTGATAACAAATTTACCATACCCTATAAAAAAACTATTTCGTATGCATACTCAGTACACTATTTGACATATAAAAAAAAAAATTGATAAAATGATTTAGAAAATAAGATAGCTCTCTATTAGGTAAACGTAGTGGTATGAACATTTAACTTAACAGAAAGGATAATATATACCAATTCTTTATTATCATTAACAATCATTAAAGACTTGTAATAACGTCCATCTTAAATAAAGAAAGTTCCACGAGTACATACAGTTAGGTCCAACCGCCAATTAATCTGGATGAACGTGTCTCTCCACATTTAATAACGTTCAGTGGAGCTAAGCTACAGCCCACGCACCTGAATTGAATTAAATGTATAACTGGGTAAAGCAAACAGTCAGGTGGTAACTGTTCTCAGGTTATTACACGCGGCGTACTTAAAAATTCCATTTAGATAAGTTTAATTGGATTTTGAAACACATGAGCTAAGGCCCCGGTCGCAAATTAGAAAATTTCTCCTCAGATGTGTGTACAACGCACTCGCGCAAAGTTATTAATAGATGTTTTTTTTTTCTTGAAAAATAAATATTTCTCAAAAGGTAATAAACAACACGATACAATCAACCTCACACTTTAAGAAACTGATTCGAAAACGTCTTTTTGTTTTATTTTCACGTTTTCACGGCGATTTCGTCATCTCGATCGAGGAAAAGTATTACGTTGCAGGTATTCAATTTAATTCACTTGCAATGTCTCTTCTACAACGCTCCGTACATCAGCAGAAAAGAAGCGAGTCAACCTCTGATGCGGAAAAAAAAGTTTCCAAGACAGAGAGAGAAAGAAAGCCGTGAGGAGACGGGAAAGACTCGTCACAAAAGGAACTTGTTGACGGAGAGCTCACTGCGGACTTTTGGTCTGGAGAGTTGGATACGTATAATCTCGGCAAGGAGACGAGAGAAAAAAGAGTCACTGCCCTAGGGTCTGGCGCGTTTTCCATGCTTATGGGGGAAGGGCAGGGATCGACAGCATCAGCCACCGCTGTCAAGGGAAAACGAACGCCCTTATGCGCAAAACTCGCGGAGACTTAATAAGAGCTGACGAGGTATTTTTTCCACACAGATCGGTTTTTTTGGATGAAGTCCAAGTTAATGTCTTAACGCGGCCACAGGTTCAATTGGAGCGTGAATTTGTCCTCTGGTGCGTGGGTGTGTACTAGTTGATGATATGTTTCGTAGCATATTATAACGGGATATTTTATGTGATAGTATATTGTACCAAATCTAGAAAGTAAAAATTCAAAACAAAACTATTAAGGTAGGGTATAAGATAATTATGACAATATCACACAAATTATTCACTGGTCTGTACTTAAAGAATCGTCATTAAAGTATCACAGGAAATATCAAGGGTCACATCAAAAACTGAAAATTTCGAACGTCTTTAATCAGTAAAAGTACGGAAAAGATCTTTGAAAAGTCCAACTTTATTGTATTCCCAACATTCCAGCTTATTCCTAGAGTAAGAGTCCACTAAATACGTTCTTGTTATACATAATACAAAATGTAAGGTTCCTAGTTGACAAAAGACAAAAGTGGAGTGACTAGTCGTTTGTTTGTTTTATTTCAAATATTTGTTTTGTAAATTAACATTTCTCTTAAACACATAAGCGAAACAAATTTTATAAAATGGTATTCGTCGAGGTATTTGTTGATTTCAAGATCTATTTCATGTTAAAAACGTGGAATAAAAAATACCTCTAGATGGACAACTTGGTTGTACATACTTGGAACAATAGAGATCTATACACATTGTTATTGTAGTGTTTATTTGAATCGCTCGCAAAGTTACTACCCTAAGTCTAATATAAAAGTCTCCAACCCGATCACCAGCTTACAACGTATCTTCCACGTGCACCCCTCCATCCTTACTCTTTTTTCAAAATGAGGTGCAATTAATAAATGTGCAATTCGCAGTGGACAAAAAGACCGGCAAAACGGCATCAATCTCCGAACAAATCTCCGTCCAACGACAAACCAGTCCTAGATCTCGACAACAAATCATACACAAGACAAAAAAATCCACCTCATCCCAGCAGAGCGATTCA